ACAATTGATTTTTCATTGTTTTTGGACTACTGGTAGTTTTTAAGTGCTTAATTATTAAATAATATAGGCCATTAAGTCTGCTTTTGTGCAGTAACAATTAACTTGATAAATATTTTATATGTATTTGAGTTTAAAGGAAACAAATCTATTTTATTTTTATTTAGTTCACTTTTTCACCTTTTTATTTAATATTATTTCAGTTGCCAAAGTCATCTCGTGTGTGTCATAATTGTTGGCGAAGGTTTGATAGAGCAGCATCACATTCAACTGCAGAACGGGAACCATCTGAATCATCTAGTTCATCCTCGTTGCAATCTGAAGTCGGTAATGTATTGCACCCAGATTCAAACATTCTAATTTCAATAGAGAATGAAGCTGGGTATTCCCACCTGCTTGGGACACTGTAATTAATAAAATTAAAACTAAACCCAAGCATACCACGCAAGACTTCAGGACAGTTAGTTCATTCTGCGTAGATCGGACCATAAATAGTTATTAAAAAGCTGAAGTTACTCCAAGTTAACACTGATTTCGGTACACCAGTCACCTCAATCCCCCATGACCATGTGTGCCGGAAAGCACCCGAAAGTCGGGAATTAAAAATCAAAGAAATTAAATGCGATAACATCTGTAAAATTATTTGTTAAAAAACTGTATTTGTGAAAATAAAAACTTTTATATCTTAAAATTCCCGACTTTTTTTAAACCAATTTCTTAACCATTTCATTCCTTTAATTGTATATTATCATATCTATATGCTTTTATATGTGGGCACCCATGGCCGAAATGTCTATGAAGAGTGGGCATTCCTCTTTATGTATGTAAACTGCTCCCAACATACAGGAAAAAATTCTAGTGCAAAGGTTACGTTTAATAAAAACCTTATATAAAATATCCAAGCCCGAAACATATTTTGTGCGTCTTATCTTACACAATACTTGTTACGTCCGGAATTCGAACCCAAGCCGCGGCATTGCAGTCACCGCGCTATGAGACGACAAATATTACATAACTGTGATACATTCGAGAGCAATCCACTTGCAGATTACTGACATTGACTGCCACTGGCTGAGACTGTCTGGCTATAAGCACGATTGCTTACCCGCTTACCCGTCCGTCTCGGGTTGAATCCTGGGTCTAGCCAAGATTTATTGAGTTTCTCGAGTCTGTCAGTCTATCAAGAAATTCTTAGTATCAGCCTGGAGTCAGGAAGTTAGCGGAGTTTCATCTCCGAGCCTCGGAAAGCAAGTAAAGCCGTTGCTTCTGTTGTCTTTGCACACCCACATACATGACTCGTCTCCGAAGAGACTGACCGCTTTGATCGAAATCCGGTTTGGACGATATTACTTGAAGATAGATAAAGAAGTCTAAGATTCCGTGTTCCAGTCTGAAGGGTATGAAGAACCAGTATAATCACGGGCTGTGATATACTCCATCTTAGTCCTCAGAGATGACGACGCATATATAGGCTTCTTTTTCCATATAGAAATAATATATTCACATATATTGCAATAGTCCATAGATTACGATAGTCATTCACCATCAGATGGCCTGTAAGTTTGTTTATCACTTCACTTATATAAAAAGGCGCCATTTACGACACCCACAAGACGAAAGAGTGTGATGATTATCTTGCGACTCCATCACATGGAAAATTTTAGAAAATAAAAGTTGGCCCTAACGCGACGTCCGGCATATGTCAAACATCATAGTTGATGATAAAATTTATAAACAATGAAAACCAATAACATTTCAATGGATTTTTTGTTATTCGAAATAAAGAATTATATAATATTGTACAATGTATATATTTATATTAATAGAGAAATATTAAGTAAAATAAATAAAAAATAGAAGGGCACACACAGAACACAACTCACACAAAAAAGCAACGAAGTGTATAGTATACTCGCACGCACACACAATGGAGTCGAGACCCTTGGCGTAGAGGGAGCATGACGGCAAAAGTGAGCGTCATGATGTATGCCGTCACGGCATAGAAGTCTAAGAGATGTTTAGCATCAAAAAATCTAAAATTGAGTTTCATGTAAAGACGATCCACGACTAAAACTATTTATTCACTGGCTACCTTACAATCGTATAAAATCGTCATATTGAATCGGACTTGAGGTGTAATTTTACTTGAATCCCCTACTGACCAGTGTAATATGATGGCAGGCAGTCCTTATTATGAACCTACAATAAGGACTGCCGCACTACAAAAAAGAACATCATTATATCATGATCGTATCAAATGCGATATATTTTGTTGAGACGAAAGCTCTAGAAAGGTCATTTAAATTTTCAACACGCTCCTAAAACACGTGGCGTGAAAGAGCCTATACAAACCAGTTACATAAGCTGGTTTGTTTCCATAGACTAACAAATACTATACTCTGTTTCATAACGATAAAGCAATGAATAAGTTCTAGGTTTGCCTACCGTTATTTCAAGTGATTCCGTTATTTTAACCGACATCAAAAAAGGAGAAGGTTTTCAATTCGACTGTATTTTTTTATGTCCGTTACCTCACAACTTTTTTCTAGGTGAACCAATTTTAATTATTATTTTTTATTTGAAAGCTGGTGCGTCCCACGTGGTCCCATATAAATTTTATCAGAACAGTAGTTTTTGAGTTATCCTTAATAATGCGTATTTAATTGACTACATTGTTTGAAGTCGGTTGTGCTGTTTTTAATTTCACCACTTGTTAAGTTATCTTTTTAATACCGTCCAGACACCATACCACTAACAACTTACATCTATTTTGCGTAAAGAATAACAATGCAAGTTACCAACAGTAAAAACGGTTTCCGGTTCTACATGTGCACACTATATTATGTTTTGTGCGTCTGAAAGGTATAGAGTGTTATATAGTTTCAGACTTGCGAGGTATTCCATCTTAGTTCTCAGAGGTGGCACCTGTAGCCTTCTTTGTGTGAAGTTGGCTGCAGGTGTCCACGGACTGCGGGAGCTACTTACCATAAGATCAGTTCAGGTTCAGGTTCATAAGTCATTTAATTTTTTTAAATATTTTTTAATAACTAGACAATAATTATTTTTATACATGGTAGAGCCACGCTACAGCTATAGTATGGCTGCAGCACGAATGACTCCGGCTCGTTTGAGGTAGTACCACGCTCTTACAGAAAAATAGAAGCTTAATGCTGTCGTGTTTCATATAGTGAGTCTAGAGAACTGGAGACCCGATTTACTTGATATTAGGCATAACATCTTAGTCCTCACGGGAGACAACGCATCCGCATTTTTATACTTAATTGAGGATAAAAGTAGATGTCTATGGCTCACAGCATCCACTTGTCATAAGGTGAACTTAGTGCTCTTTTATTACCTTTATGCTATATAAAAAACTGTACAGTAATGTAAACAATAAACAATCGACGAAAAAATAAAATTCATTTAACTTCATCAAAGACAGCTTTACTTAGAAAAAGTGTTTTCGGTATATTATCTAAAATCTACAATAGAGCTTCATATATTTTTCATAAAATATAAAATATTCATCAATTATAAAAAGGATTTTCATAATTTCTAATTGAGAAATGCTTCTACTCAATTAATGAATATTAAAGTGACGCATCAGTAGGCATATTATAATGACATTGCATTATAACCATTTTTGACATTCGTTTATACTATATATGTATTGTAAATATCCTATTATAATTATTTAATAATTCACATACATCATTGTTGAACATTTTAATATAATTATAATATAAATAACACAATGAAATCATTTTATTGTAGAAATATAGTATATTAAACTGTAACTATAACATTTGTATACCTAAGGCGAATGCTACACGCGTGATATTTATCACAATCTGGGACGCGATCTGGAATGACGTATCGCGATCCATATCGATACACCCTACACGTTCATTACGGATCACATCAGTATTGGGCACAAAACTGTTAAGTGCAGACATAATATCTAAAATGGACCGAAAAGGTGGAAAAGCTTGTGTGGCTATCATTATGGCAATAATATTAAAAAGGAGAGTGAAAAGGAGAATCTGGGCTAAACAGTGGTACCGGTTTAAAGGAAAATGTACCCATTTAAATTTATTAGATGAAATTAGACTTACCGGAGAAATGGATGACTACAAAAATTATTTTCGCATGAGTGATAAATGTGCATCGTAGTGACTTAATCTTTTAATTCTTTGTTGGAGCAGAAATATCGTTACTTTTAACCACAAAATATGGATACCACTGAAGCAGAAGCCGCTCAAGTGGTAGCTCTCGTTCTTGAAAGACTAAGTCAGCAATACGTGGCAAGGAGATTAAATTTGAGTCGATCAGCAGTGCGTAGAGTTTATAAACGATACTTAGAGACGAGAGAGTACCGCCGATTATTACCAGCGTCTGGAAGAGGACGTCTCACAAACCCGACAGATGACCGTTTTATTGCCTTGACTGCTTTGCGAAATCGGCATCTTTCTGCTGTTAATGTTTAAAGTAGGCTGAAGGAAACTCGTAGTCTGTAAGTGAAAATACGGTAAGAAGAAGACTTCGAGAGCAAAACCAGACACCACACAAGCCAGCGACAAGACCAAAACTCAACTGCATCTAATCGGCAAATTTTTTATCAAAAAAAATTTATAAAATTTTTTGTGTGTGTTTGACTAGGTCGCTACATGATGTAGATTCATATTTGGACCCGCTAGGTGGCGCTCTTGTTGAAATCCAGAAATCACCAATTCAAAGCCGCGGCGGATCGCTGGTTCTTTTATGTCTTTCGTACGTATATCATTTATTAACGACGTAAATATGTTGTCTTTAAGTTTTAATATAACATTTATTGTAATGTGCGTGTAAACAAGTTATAGCATCATTACAGTAACGGAACTTGCAGAATCAATTAAAAAGTAATATAATATCTACGTTAGATCTTCCATTAAGCCACATATAAAAGCCTTTTGTAATGTTGAAGCGTTATTCATACGTTGGGTGGAAAGAAGAAACAAGCAAACATGAAATACTTCGTAAGTACCATCGCTAACATTTTTATTATTTTTGTCTTTTACCTTTTCATAATATGTATTTTAAGTTTGTGTCTACACGCTCAATTTTTTAATCACGATTTTCTCAGCTCTCTCTTAGAAACGGTACCCATACCTGAATTTTCCTCTATAATGTGGAGGCGATTTACATACATAAATTTCACAAGGACAAACATCCAGACCAGGAATAATTACTAGTAGGCCATACAAAATTTGTTCCGTGCGGGATTCAAACCCACTGCGTCACGGAGCCATCCAAATGTCCAATTATAAATGGTAGGAATTCCATTAATCTGTCCTACTGTAGAGGAGCTTAATGATTTGTCTTATTTGAGCAAAACAAACTTTGTTTAAATGTATGTAGTTATATTTTGACAGCAACGTAGCTCAAGAGTTAAGCGCTCGCTGTAAATTTCCCAGCTGTAAATTTAACGCGAGTAGCCCGGGTTCGATTCCAGTCACCATAAATTGAATTATTGATTGTGTTTTTAAGTGTCTGCTGAGAAATAAAAATATTTCAAATACATGTGAAGTCCGCCAATACACAAGAAAGCGCATTACATTTTGAATAGGGAAATGTTATCTAAAAGTCCTACTAATATTTAAAAATTTCAGTTTGTTTTTATGTTTGTGGCTCAATTAAGTAAAAACTACTGAACAGATGTTGATGAAACTTGGCATTTCTATAAATTTTATAGTTAGTTTCTATAAATATAAACATTAAGTATATCCCAAATTACAGTCTTTAAATTCATCATCATCGTCGTTATGACAGCCCTTCACAAGTCCACTGCTTTATAAATATTACATATGTGGCACAAAGGAGATGATGAATTTCTAACAGCCACCAACGGGATTAGGCGCAACGGACATTCACGTTGCTATCTTACGGAGTCAACGTTATGTACGAAAACTAATAAAAATAAACTGTAATTACAGATCATTGTGTCGCTAGCATGCCTAGCAACTGCCTTGGCTTTGCCTGCAGTAACTGAGAAGAAGGAAGTCGACTTGGAGCCAAGCAGACTGGGTTTGCATGGTCGGATCCATCACGGAGGCGGTGCGCACGGCGGCGGCCACCACACAGGCGCGTCCGGCGGCTCCCATGGCAGTGGTTTCCAATCCGGAGGCAGTGGGCATAAGTTTGATGAGGGATTCAAAAAGGATAAACATACTTCGGTGAGTTGATTTAATATTTCAATTCATATTATTAATAATTGTGGATGCACGTTTTTAAAGCCATGCTGCAGCTATATTATGGTTGCAGCATGAATGGGTCGGCTCGACCAGGGAAGGACCATGCTCTCATCGAATATCAGTGCCAAATAGCATCTCAATGGAGACCCTTTTAACTGGAATCGAGGCATTTAATCTTAGCCCTCAGAGGTGGCAACGCATCCGCATTTTGATTCTTAATCGAGGATAGATATAGATGTTTATGAGCCACAGCATTCACTCAGCATCAGGTGGACTGTGTGCTCGTTTGCCAACCTTATTCTATAGAAAAACGCACTTCTTTAGTATACATTTGCAATATATTCCATGCTTTCATTACAGCCAATAAATGTCCACTGCTGAACATGGGGCTTTCCCACAGATCACCTTGATTTTGTGCCGTAGTTGCCACGCTTGGCAGGCGGGTTGGCAGACGCAGTTCAATGTTTATTTTGAGTTGTTATCAGGAAGATGCTGCTGCCTGTCTCCCGTCCCCGCATGAGACGGGGCAGTGGATACACTTACACTGCCATTACACGGTGCAATGTATTACAATGTAACAATGAAATATCACAATAACTATGGGAATGCTCTACGTCCGAGCTATTCTAAAAAATCTACTGAGTCACTAATGGTCTACTCATTAAAATAAAAATGCTACGAATGTTAATAGCAAAAACCGGCCAAGAGCGTGTCGGGCCACGCTCAGTGTAGGGTTCCGTAGATTCCCGTCCGTCACAATAAGTCCGTCACAATGAGTTTAAAGGTGGGTATCCATTATGTTCGCGCTCCAGTAGCGCTCCGCGCTCCTACAACTGCTCCCGGTAGTGGGCACTGTTGTTTCCATCCAAGTTCAAAATGATTTTCCTAGAAAGTCCTTATAAAGTTCTACTTTTCAGATTTTTTTTCATATTTTCTAAACTTATGATTCAAAAGTTAGAGGGGGGGACACATTGTTTTTTACTTTTGGAGCGATTATTTCCGAAATTATTGACATTATCAAAAAAATGATTTTTGTAAACCCCTATTCATTTTTAAATACCTTTCCAACAATAAATCACACGTTAGGGTAGAAATTAAAAAAAAATCACTTCCCACTTTATAGGGGGGGCTAACCTAATAAAACATTTTTTTCTAATTTTTATTTTACCACTTTGTCGGCGTGATTGATACACATATTGGTACCAAATTTCAGCTTTCTAGTGCTAACGGTCACAGAGATTAAGCGAGGACGGACAGACGGACAGACAGACCTGAAGAAACTACATATAAGGGTTCCTAGTTGACTACGGAACCCTAAAAAGTTTCCCGAGTAAAACGGTAAATTCGCAATGCGCTCGCTTCCAACATCCTGTTAGTTTTTGAGCTAATATCTATTCTAAAATAAATTAAAATAGATATGTGTAGATATTCCTTTTTGCCGATACAATACTCTTATAAAGATGTCAGCGATTCCGATACGCTTTGTGAATTAAAATGAAGGTAAAACATAGCGCAAGATGAATTAATTTTTTTTAAGTAACGTAAAAATTACAGACTTAGAATGAGATTATAAGTTAATAAAATAATAATAAAAGTTAAGTGTTAATAAATAAAATTAAGTTTAGAATAATTTTAGTTCCACAAACTAAGTGTTCTCAAATTTTTCAAATAAAAAGGCGATTTCACAAGTCTGTTTGATCATTCAAACAGACTTGCGAAATCGCCTTTCGACCTGCGGTGGAAAAATAGCAGATAAATGTTTCGTATGGTGAGAGCAGAGAACCAGAGACCTTTTTACTGGAAGCGGTGCATTCCATTTTAGTCCTCAGGTATGACTAAGCATCTGCAATTTAAATCTTAATCAATGATAAATGTATTCTATGAGTCACAGTATTCACTTACAAGCAGGTGGACTGTACGCTCGTTTATCACTCTTAATTTAAAAAAATATGACTCCGATGATGCGGAGCTTGGAATCAAATAATGTATTAGCTGTGTTAGAACATCCACTAGCCCATATCGTACCGAGAAATTCGTACTCGTAAGAGGCGACAGAGGGACACTGAAACAGGTTGGGGCAGCGGCGATTTCCGAATAACATCATCAAAACAAACATGACAGTTGAAACCCACCTTCAAGAGTGGAAACTATGGCAAATATCCCCTAAAAGACAATCTATGGCCCCCCGCCATTCAATCGTAGACCTTTATAGCATTGCTATCGTATTACTCAGTTAAGAGCGTAAATGACACGATATTTTTCAATTTCACAGTTCACGAATTCGGAACACGAATCAGGACACGTTTCGAGCGGCCAAGGTTCACACGGGTCTGGTGGCCACAGCGGCGGCAGCCACGGCAACTTCCAAAGTGGCGGTGGAGGGTTCGGGACAGGGGGACGTGGCTCCGGTCGTGTTTACCGCAGCTCGTACTAAACAGATACAAGACTAACGCCTGCTCTAGTTCCAGAAACTTAGCGTTATAAATAAACCTTTCTTTATATTTGTACTTCTGTTGACTCGTAGGAGCAGCGAAATGAATTATATTTAATAAAAATTAAACAAAACTGGGCCCTTTATTTTAATGGAACGCTATTAACATTACCCACTAATACTCCAGTTAATCAGGGAACATAATCATAATGTCCTCCAGACCGAATTTCAGTCAAGGCCGCCAATTACAACAAAGATCAGCCATCTGCACATGACACTCTATTTCCTCACGCTCATAGTCCAATGAGACAGTTATAGACAAGACCGGAGAGAGATCAGGCGCAGGAACAACGGCTTTACATGCTTACCGAGGCACAACAGTGAAACACCGCCACCTTTTCGACTCCGGGTTGCCAATAGAAATATCTTAACAGAAAAATCCATTAAAAGAGTTTGGACCGACCCGAGATTCGAACCCGGGAGCTCATGACTTATGATGAGACCACTAGAGCAACGAGGCAGTCATCCACTACCACCCCAAGTAAGCTTGGGTTCGTAGTTTTTCAACAGGAGCGGTTGCGCTGGTAGGGCCACGGATGTGTACGAAGGCCTTCCCGTGACCTGCCAATACCAGACAAACGTGGAAAACCATTGAATTTTAGTCATAACCCGTCCTTGCCACCGCGAGGTGAGTATGCATTGGCATTTCGCTATGTAAAAAGTGGTTCACAACAGTAGTCGAATGGCGGATTCGAACACACCACTTTCAGTCTCATGTTGGCCTGGGACTTATTATATTGGGCCATATTATTATAATGGGTATTATTTATTAATTACGCTTTATCGTTTACACCTTAAAAAAGGTTTTTTTTTAAATTATAGGGTAACAAACGAGCACACAGTCCACCTGATTGATGGATGCTGTGGTCCATAAACATCCACATTTTTCCTTAATTAATGTGTTGTCACTCCTGGAGACTAAGATGGAATGCCTCGATTCCAGTAAAAAGGATCTCCGGTTCTCTACAGTCACCGTACGAAACACAGCGGCACTCGGCTGCTATTTTACGCTGGTATTCTGTGGGAACGTGGTCCTACACCGGTCGAGCCGACCCATTCGTGCTACAACCATTTATAGCTGGCGTTCTCCACTAGTTGACCCTTGGCATCCGTTACCATTATAGCCGAAGTACACTGCTGAATATAGGCCTCCAATATAGATTGTCTCACAGCCATAGTCATCACGCTTGGCAACCGGGTTGGCAATGGCAGTATTTTATTTATAGTCGTTATTAGAAAGACCCTCTGTCGCCTCTTACGACACCCACGGGACGATATGGGGTAGTGGATATCCTTACACCACCACTACACGGTACCAACCTTGGACATAGAAACAAAGTAAGAATGTGCCAACATTATTACTCGTTTAGCATGTCGTAACAGGTGATGGGATATTGAGTTTGAGATAGTCCAAGCGATGGCCCGACGGGCTAAGCTATCACTTTTTTCAAAAATTTCCATCTAAAATATATTAAAAAATACCTTTGTATATTTTCGTGCTAAATGTAATTCGAGTAACTCGCTGCTCCTTAAACTCTGCCTACCTCGTTATGGATTACAAACGTTATGTTTATGTCCATGACTTTTCGAGTTTACAGTCTGCACTCTTAACCATTATGTTACCGTGATACTTAATTACCAATGACATTTGCACGCTAGTTCAATTTAATATGTTGCACTCAAATTATATGCAAGATTCTGACCGTAGTCTCTGCTTATCCCTCTGGGTGACAGGCGTTTTTTTCAAATGTTAATTATTGTATGAGTCATGTGTCAATGCACTCGCACAGCGCTCTTGCTTATTAGGACATACTTGTCATTTTATTAACTAGAAATTAACAATAAAGAACAGTGATCATAACGCAATCATCAGAAACGGTTGTTTGAATTACTTTCCGATTCATCCGATCATCCTTATCACCGAGCTATAATCCTTATTATCTATCATCGTTTAATGTAAAACAGTTCATTTTACAGATTGTGAAAAATAGATAATCACCACAAATACAGTGTCCAGATGCCTCTGTTTCTCTTGTGACCAAAAACATTTACCAAAAGATAAATTGTGTTACAAATCAAATAGTTCTTAAAAATCATATTTTTATAGATAATGTGATAAACGAACAAACTGACCGCATGATGGTTAATGGATACTGTGAAACATAAACATCTACATCTATCCTCGGTTAAGAATCATTTTAGAACAGCTGCCATGCTACGGCTCTACCACACACTCTATTTAATACCCCGGGGGACATTTAAGAAGCTGTTTACAATGACAGTTGTGTAAAATGACGTTAATTATTTATCAAAATTAATTAAGTTACAAATTTATTTACACACAACACAAGATAAAAATATACAATATTGACTATAATAATAAAATAACCTGAAGTTAAAAACTAAAATTCTCATACAGTCCTACTCCCCGAGGTAGTGCTAGGAACGCTGGCTGCGTTTCCTCGCTGAAAGGCGAAAGGTAACTTAGCCTTTAAGCTAGAAGAGAACCAGCCTCACTTATCACCAGCGGCGACGACAAGGCGTGGGTACAGTTTGTTTAAGAACTTCACCGCATGGACATACGGACCAATAGTCTCTGCAGCAAATTGCATAAATAAATACTTAGTCATCTCCCATTTAATCCGAATTTAAAAAATACCCCGATCAATTAGGCATTTTTTAGTTACTTAGATTTTACCTGTATCACCGATGTGTATTACATTAATGAATTGTACATAAGCATCCAAAAATGTTTTTAGATGTAGACCATTAAAAACTTGTCCCGCACGGTATTCGAACCCGTGGCCCCGCAACGGATACAACCGCTTAGCCACTGACCCACCGAGCCGTTTAAATATAAATATTAAAAATTAATAAACACATCTACTTCATAAACTGATTTCTATAAAGTGCGGGGGTTATTGAATGCTATAAAGATATGAATAAACTTTTCTTTTGAATTTTTGTCTGTCTGTGTGTCAAGGCTTATCCTCGGGACGTCTGAACCGGTTTTGATGAAACTTTACTAACAGATAGATAGATGGGATAGGTAGACAGAGAGAGAGAGAGAGAGAGAGAGAGAGAGACAGAGAGAGAGAAAGATATCAATGGTAGTAGAGATCTACGCTATATTCACACCGAAAACCTTACAGTTTTTTTTTTTTTAGAAAACGAAGAGTTTATAAAATACAATTCAAGTTATGACAATGTTATATTTAGCGTACATTTTCATAATGTCGAGTCCGCGGATTTCTCGACTTGACTTGCATGTTAACATAATAAAAGCGTGCGACTTGGCACACTCCACACTCTATTATCATCACCTCCTCAACTGCAGTAGGTACGTGTCTTAGGGGACATTCTTTCTACACTCAAAAGTATACCGAATGTGAAATCTTGATATCGCGTCGTGACTCGAAACAAAAGTACTTAACGATGTCTCTGATTTAACATTGGAGTTAGGAAAACATTTTTTACGAAGATTGGAATTCACCTTTGACCAAATTCCTACTAATATTGTATGTAACTTTTTTATACTCAAGATTCGCTAGATCGCCTATTATTGGCTAGTGGTGGATAAAGCATGCACAACTAGCCAGGTAGCATATGTCTCGGAATGTTTCATTACTGTTTACTGTTTCGTTGCATTTGATATTGTATAGATGCTTCCATGGTCTAGTGGTTGTAGTAGTGCGACTGTTGATCATGAGGTCCCCGGTTCGAATCCCAGGTCGGGCAAAAAATATCAGTTATTGAGTTTTTGCATCAAGAAATTCTCAGTAACTGCCTAGAGTCAGAAAGTTGGCGGTGTTTCACCGCCGTGTCTTGTAAAGCACGTAAAGCCGCTGGTCCTGCACTTCGCTTCTTCCGCGCACCTGTGCTTGCGCACACACTCGGGTACTGTAATCTTGCCCTGCGCAAATGGCTAGTCTCCGTTGAGACTGGCCGCCGTGACCGGAATTCGGTCTGGAGGAGATTATTGTACCAATAAAATAAAAATATAAATTACTTCGCTAGCTAAATACAATGATGTGTCTTACCTGGATTGAAGAGCACCTCCCGCCCTCCCTCAATTGCATGCACTAACTCCGTCACCACTAGTTCCAGCACCACTACTCCCAACACCACTATTCCAGGTAAGACACACCATCTTTAGCGGTCAGCCACCAATTCAATAATTAACAAACAATAAAGGTGTTATTTATAAGGCAAAAAACAAATACATTTATTTCACAAGGTCAATTTTACAAGCTATGTCACTTGATGTGGTTATTATATGCTACCCATGTGGTTTATATATGATATACCTGTAGTGTTATAAGAAATTTTAGCTATGGGAATTATAACAAAAGGTTATGATCCAAAGTTAAAACTAAAACATGTTCAATGTGTTGTCTTACTTAAGAATATGTAGTTTTTTGACCAAAAAACAATATCAAATTCATTATGTACTGAAAGGATTTTCATTTAATATGAGAATTTTGTTCACAGTTTCATAGATTCGGATTTTTTGCGAGGAACTCTTTCTAATATAAAAGTAGGCTAAGTCACTATTTATAATATCCACTATCTGAAAGTGACAGTTCTGTCAAAATCGGTTTTGGAGATAAGCCAGAACATACTGACAGATAAAAAAAATTAAAAATTGTTCTTGTTACAAGTACAGTACTTTCATTTACGTTCAGTAAAAAGTTATTTTTGACATTACAAAAAGACACTTCAATTTTAATAATTGTATTGTTTAGGTTTATAGACGATGCCTATATTCATCAGTAGATTTTTATAGGATGTATTGAATAGCATCGCAATACCAACAATACGCTACCATTTACATGACAAACAAATTCATAGATATATAATTATCATCTAGTGAATTTAAGGCAGTTTTAACGACATTTGATTATAATGTATTGTAAATAAAATTTCCATCGAAACGTTAAATTAACGAGAAATTAATAACTATGACGAATGTAATAATAAACGTACAGAAAAATATCAAAAATTAACCACCAAATTAAATGTCAAACATCTGTGTCAACTTCAGAACGAAACGCAACTGTTGACCACAAACATGGACCATAGACTAAACGCGGTCTATAATCTGCCAAAACAAACTCCGGATGATGCAATAATTAGAGCTTTACCGAAAGGAATGAATTTCTCTATAACACCGTACGAAGAAATCATCTGGAGTGTCGAGGTCTGTTTATTTTAAAACAATAAGCGGAAAGAGCATTTGGAGGCGATACGTCAAGACATTTCGTCTATATTATGTCGAAGATCAGTGCCTAAACCGAATCTACCCAAAGACGAATTTATAGCGTTAAATAACCTACGCAATAAACCAGAACTCACAATACTCCGCGCAGGTAAGGAAAATGCCACGGTAGTCATTTTAGATTATAATTCTAAAATACAAGAATTTTTGTCGGATGTAAACACTTATAAAAAGGTTATAAATCTGGACGTACAACCAATATTACCTACGTGTGCCAAACCACCGAAGTTGTATGTGTTACCAAAAATACAAAAGCCGAATGTTCCAATACGTCCCTTAGTGAACCAAATCTATTCACCAAATTACAGATTGGCTCAGTACTTAGCGAAAATACTATCACCGCTCAAGGGACATACGAGAGCACACACAAAGGATTCCTTATCATGTTGTCGGCGATACATCTAGCAGACAGTGAAACTCTGGTGAGTTTTGATGTGCAGTCACTGTTTACATGCTTACTTGTTGAAGACTGCATCTCAATTGTAACTAGAAGGCTGGAATAAAACAACATTCCTGCAGAATAAGCAGTATTACTCAGACACTGTCTTACATCTGGCAATTTATTGTGGAAGGAAGAGTTCGACAAGCAAGTTGATAGTGTGACGATGGGCTCACATGTATCCCATTGTCGCTGATATATTCGTGTGAGACTTTGAGGAGAAAGCCCTTCTTACTTTTCCCGTAAACCCACGGTTCTACAAGCGGTACATAGACAACACTTTCACAATTCTAGCTTTAGATAAAGTAAGTAAGTAAGTACTGCATTTTTAGACCATCTTTACTCCATAATTTCTAAAATTCAGTTCACAATGAAGTAAGAGTCTAACAACTCTTTAGCTTTTCTAAATGTGATAATAATCCTTGAACCACACGATGTATAGAAAAAAGACCCGTATAGATATTTAAACGATGATCCTCACCACCATCCTTCACAGTTAGCTATCGTGAGTAAATATATGTTTCAAGGAGTGACAGTAAACACCTGGCCGCCGAGCTCCAACACGTTAAGCAAGTTTTGCATGACAACAAGCTTCGGGTCCCATGCCTAAATCACAGTGAACGAGTGAAGCCAGCCACAGTCAAGCGTGTGCCTACTGTACTGCCATATGTCAGAGGTGTCACTAACAAGATTGGCTCTACATCTTGAAGCGTGCTTGAATTAAACCATACTTTAAGCCGCCGAAATGATTGGTCAGTTTTTTCCACCAGTCAAGTGTAATGCCTCTATGCAAGACGCAGAAGTGTATAAGTTTGATTGTGAAAGTGTTCTATCTCACATAGGGCAAAGTAAAATATCAACAAAAACCCGCGTTAAAGAACACATAGCTGATGTGAACAACCGACGCTCCGGTCTCATCAGTCCATCCCGTGACCATGGGTGCCGTAAAATGTTTGAAATGTCGGGAATATAAAATAAGTTAATTATATACGCGATAAAATCTGTAAAAACTACTTTTATTCAAATAATAGCATCGAGTTTAACTATTGATACTTGTCTACGCTACAACGTTATTATTATAATCAAGCCTGAATTTTAGTAGACGATGAATATTATTATGGTTCTCTTTACTCTATTTGGTACTTTTGTTAGTTTGTGCCACTCTCTGTTCTGTGAAAGTTATGTACTTCGTGTGTTGATTAAAGTAATATAAAAAAACAGTATTTTTTCTGTCATGATTCGAAACTTCCAAAGGACATTTTTAAAAAGATTTTTATTTAATACTCAATTTAAATGAGCGATACATTTAATAATACGCGATGTATTTTGTTACACGTTCGATACATATGAGATCTAAATTAAGACTACCCTTATTTTTACTCTAGAAACACTAAGCTTAAAGAATCGTCAACATTTATGTATACAAAGAACCACCCATCTTGCAGCCTACGCTTGAATTGTGATTGTTTCCGTTGCAGTACCAGGAAAATCGGGATGCATAGCTACCTAAAGGATGAGTCCGACATTGAATATGAATATATCAAACTGAAGTCGTTGATGAGCTGAGTTGACAATTGATCGCTATTTAAGCCACTGTATTGGGGTATTCCTAACGCAGGGTTTTTTGGAACGGACCTAATTGTATAAGAGAATTTATCTGCGTAAATTTTGTATTAAATGGCATATCAAATTACCACACGGCTATTTCCAAATCGAATTAAATGAATCAATTAAAAAATAATACGCGCAATAATGACTGTCGAGATAAAGGAAGACATTATATTCAGTTGCGTCGCAGTTTGTGTTCCATTCAGTTGTGAAACATTGGTGAGGAATCCAACATGAGACACCTGGTGAGGAATCTAAATTATTTTTATATACGTATACCAATATTTAATGTTGAAGATTTTAAAATTAATTAGCTAAGATCCATGTAAAAAATAAAAATGCAGTGTCTTACCTTGTTTGAAAAGGACACATCATTTTTATTTTTCAACAAGCTTTTATTAGCTTCGCATGTACCTATCTATGCAACGGAATCTTTGATTGTAATTTCCACCATCTTGTAGGCAGCCGGTTGACTTAAAAATTTGCACTCGTATGAGGAACCGATCACAATACAATAATTTAATAACTTTATTCTCGTATCCTGATTATTTAAATTAATTAGCAAGAACATCACAGCTCATGTTCAAAGCGTGTTTTTTTTTAAGTTTTTTTAAACTTTTATATTGCTATTTCGTCGATCTTAGTTAAATAATTTTAACATCTATACAACTGAATAAAATTGAAGTGTCTGTTTGTAATGTCAAAACAACAGCTGTTTACTAAATGCATATGAAAGAATATACGTACACAAAAAAAAATAAAAAAATATTTGTCTGTCTACCTGTTTGCTCCGGCTAATCTCTGAAACGACTGACAGAAATGTCGACGGGACTTTCATTGGCAAATTAAGAGTAACTAAGGGTACTTTAATTTTAGAAAAAGAATATAGGTTCCGCGAAAAACCTATGAAATAGTGCTCAAAATCCAATTGAAAAAGAGAAGTATAATAATAAAACACTAAAATTATTTTACGCAAACTAAATCGCGAACTAAGATAAACCCTCCTTACAACGGAAGAAGCACACGTCCAGCTCTAGACTTTTACATGCTGATGAAGAATAAAAGACCAACGACACTAAATACTTTTTATAGAGTAAGGGTGACAAACGAGCGCACAGTCCAAATTATGGTAAGTGGATGTTGAGGCCCATTGACATCTACATCTCTTCTCAATTAAGAATCAAAATGCAGATCAGTTTTCAGTAAAAAGGGTCTTCAGTTCTCTACACTCACCATATGAAACACAGCAGCATTGAGGTGATTCAGGAGAAAATCCTAGTATAGGGGTAACGTTTTAAAAAGATAAATAATAATAAATAATGATTTCTTAAATTTACGCGAACACTACACATTGAATAAAACTATTATTTACGGATTTTATCGCGTTTAATTACTTTAATTTATTTTTATTATTATCCCGACGTTTCGGGTGCTTTACAGCGCCCATGGTCACGGGGGGGGGACTGAGATGTTTGACGTCCCAATGTCATAGTTAGTCCGGCTACCTTCAGTTTTTTAATATTAATTTTTGGTCCGATTTACGCAAAACGAACTTATAGTATCATGAAGTCTTGCAGTGGTATGCTTGGGTTTGGGTTTAATTTAACAAGCCGGACTAACTATGATATTGGGACGTCAAACATCTCAGTCCCCCCCCCCCCCGTGACCATGGGCGCTGTAAAGCACCCGAAACATCGGGATAATAATAAAAATAAATTAAAGTAATTAAACGCGATAAAATCCGTAAATAATAGTTTTATTCAATAATAAATAATTCTGTTAAAGCGTGGTCCTTCCTTGGTCGATCCGATCCATGCATGCCTCTACCGCGTATAAAATGTAATCAATTTCACTTTTATGATTCTAGGTCATTGTCACATTGGCTTGCTTGATGGCATCCTTCGTCATCGAAGAGGCTCTGGGTAGCGGACTTCGGAATCATTTCGGCGGTGGGGCGCACGGTGGTCGCCGGTACGACGACATTTCCAGCGGTGGGGGCGGCCGCGGCTTCAATTCCGGTAGTGGCGGTGGGAGGTTTGATGAAGGACGCAGGAGAGACAGCTTCACATCGGTAAGTTTTTATTTAATCATCATCATCATTACAGCATATTCAAGTCTACTGCTGAATATACTCCCTATAGATTATCTCATAACGCAATTTATATAAAATCGTCAGCAGATAATACAAGTAGTGAAAGACGCAAGTTTTTTAATTTTTTTTATAGAATAAGGGTGATAAACGAGCACACAGTCCACCTAATGGTAAGTGGATGCTGTGGCCCATAGACATCTACGTTTAACCTCGATTAAGAATCTAAAAACAGATGCGTTGTCACCCCTGAGGACTATGATGGAATGGTTCGATTCCAGTAAAACGAGTCTTGGGTTCTTTACACTCACCATACGAAACACAGCAGTATTAAGCTGCTATTTTACGCTGGTATTCTGTGACAGCGTGACCCTTCCCTGGTCGAGCCGACCCATTCGTGCTACAATCATATTAAAGCTGCAGCGTGGCTCTACCACATAAAAAATATACTTAAAAAACGAACTTACAATCCACCTGATAGTAAATGGCTACTCCAACCTATAGACAACTTGTAACAAAGAAGGCTAGAGCTGCTTTGTTAGCTCTGAGGACTAATATAAATACACCTCACACCCTGTAATCTTACTGGTCCTCTATGCTCTTCAGAGCAAAACACACTGCAATTTAGTGGCGAAAATAGGTACAACGATGCAACTTACCCACATGGTAACCTAAGCAGGAAAGATCTTACCACCCAGTGAAAGTAAAGACCTTATTATATAAGGTCGGCGACTTCACATGTCTACAAATTGTAGATAAGTTTTCGCGCGATATTTTTTCTTTGCCATGTTTACGGTAAACATCATTGAAAATTGCAATTTTACCAAGCTAATGAGCCAAGGAAAGGTTTTCAAGCGAAGTCAAAAAATGTAGAGCGGCCCTCACTAGATGGAGTAACGACCTGGTAAGGAACGTAGAAAGTCGATAGGTGCATTTGGATTAGAACTGTGCTTTTTCTTCGAGCCTCGACCAGGGGCTGCCATGGGGCGCTGGCGCTGAGCTGGCGGGACCGCGGATGTGTGCGAAAGCGTTCACGTGGTGTTTAGTCGGTTCGCCTCGTTCGGTCGGTCTACCCATTAAATTATGTCTAATTATTTCTTATATTTACGCAAATAAACACATAAAATTAAACTAATTATACGGATTCTATCGCATTTAATTTTAACTTTATAATTACCGACGTCTCGGCTTCACAGCACCCATGGTTACGGTGGAAAAGGTCACTTAGGCTTTGGAAGTCCTGATGTCATAGTTAACCCGGCTACCTTCAGTTTTTTTTCTACGCAATACGATCTTAGAGTATCTTGAAGTCATTCGGTGCTATGCTTCAGTTGGGAATTCATTCTATAGAAATTAGAATGCTTTTTAATTTCAATAGCCTCTAAATAGGTGGCCAGGCAAAGCCAGGGCGTTTAGTTGTTTATTAAAAAACTAAGAGCAAAATGATATTTTCAAAGCAAAACATCGATAATCATACTCGACGTGAATTTTTCCAGTTCACGAACTCCGAGCACGACTCTGGGCACTTATCCAGCGGTTCTGGAGCCCGTGGCCTCAACACAGGTGGCGGGGGACGTTTCGGAAGTGCACACAGAGGCGGCTCCGGATTCGGCAACGGCCGCTATGGCAGCAGCCGTATAGGACCCGGATTCGGTATTTGGAAGTAATTGCCGATACAGATACAACAGCCAATGGAGATGTACCCAAACACACAAAGTATAAACACGTCCATCTGTAGATCGATTTTACATCTATCGTTCGAGTTAACGTCTAAAGTATTTCAAAATAAAGACATTACAGGGTAATTGAATTTTAATTCTTTTGTTTATAATAAGATAACACCCACATATTTGATCGATTTGTAATAGAAGCTATAATGTTTTGCTGATTTTGAAGTCACGGCGGCCAGTTTCATTGGAAACTAGCCATTTGCACAGGAAAGGTTTATAGTGCCCGAGCGTACGCGCAAGTTCACGCCAATTCGCTCACTCTCATAGTCCGATAGTACGGTTATCCGTCACGACCGGAGAGAGATTCGGCGCAGGACAGGAAGCACCGCCAACTTCATGACTCCGAGCTCCAACTGAGAATTTGACTGATTTAGGCCTAATTCGAGATTAAAACCCAAGAACTCATGATCAGTAATTAAGGATTGATTAAAGATGCCAATGTATTACCCATCTATACATTTGCAATCCTTAATCAACCCTTATCCTTTAATTCTTAATATAATTATATACATATTAGCTGTTTGGTTTAGCTATAGATAAAAATCAGGGCTAGACAGGTCGCCATTAAAAGGTAACTTTTCAAAAGGCCGCATCGAATGTCGCAATGCCGTGCCGGTTCTGAGGCGCGCAGTGTGACGTCACTCGCCACACGTCTTTGGATCAGAAGATTTTTAGTTTGTTTGTTAACCCAAGATACTTTTTTAGTCTTTTGTCGTTTTAATTAATTTTTTTAGACTTTTGTCGTTTTAATTTTTTTCGTAGGTACTTGTCACGTCAACATAGGCTCCGTAAATTATAAGTTTTAAAAAATATTAAATGTAAACAATTTTTGTTATTTCTTAGTTAAGTGAGTTCATAATCATGTAACTAAAGACTACAAACTTTATCCAGTTGAAGTGTTAAGTGTGAACATTGTTAATTTAAATTTTGTATGGAACTAACGTTGAAGTGTTTAATAACAAAAGAAATATCAAATGTGTGATAAAGTGAACGAAAACTGTTTTTTATCAAAAAAACTAAGTGGATAATATAAGAATTTGCAGGAAAGTAACCATTAATTGAGCTTATAATTTCAAAAATATAAAAGACCGTTACATAGTTATTCAAAAAATATTTAATTATTATTTCTTTAGTGGACAAAACGAACAATCACTGTAACTAAAGAACGATTATTCTTTTATACTAACTCAAATTTCAAGATACTTGGGTGTTTATTTTAGTATTATAATTATTGAAAATAAAAAACAAAAAAAAATTAAAAAATAGTTCCATCTTATGGCAAATGTTAAAACTACGCTTATGTTTATTCGATTATCACAAACGTTATCAGACGTTTGGCCAACAGAGGACGCTTATTTATAGAGTGGCATTAAAGTAATATGTACAAATTATATTAATCTTGATAAAACCAGAAATACGCAAAATGAATGTATGTTTTAAATGTAAAATTGTTATATCTGACAAACAATACTTAACCTGTTCTAGCTGTAAGGAGCATTTCCATTTGGATTGTACAAATGTTTCAAATAAAAGATTTTATTTAATGACGGTTGATACTAAAAATAAGTGGAAATGTAAAGAATGTTATGAAGAAAGAACAACACGTACACTATCAAATAACATAACAATCAGAAATAAATATCGGATTAATATACCTGTGAAGAATTCTTTCGACTCTCTGTCATCGGACGAGCAAGAGCCCGAGTATTCGTCACTACTAGAAACGTGTGAATTAAATAGAAGTTGCCCAGAACTAGGTTCTGTTAACCCGGAAAAGATAGAAGAATTAGAGAAGAAAATAGGTTATCTTACAGAGAAATTAGAAATAGCAGAAAATGAAATTGAGAATATTTTATCAGAAAATTTTGCCCTAAAAAATAAAATTTCGGAATATGAATTAAAAATTAATAAACTAAACCAATTATGCAAGCCCACTCCTCACCTAAAAAATTTAATTCCAAAGAGCTCCACATGCAAAAAAAAGAAGAATATAAATAAAAGTAAATTGGATTTCTCTTTAATTGAAACGAAAAGCCCTACTAAACAACAAGAACAATGTAAATATCAAACAACGCCATCTAGTAAAGACAATAGCAATCTTTATAGAGAAAATTCACTACCAAGATTTAATGAATTAGTAATGTGTAATAATTCTCGTAGTGATACGTCAGATACAAACAAAAAAAGAAGGTACTAAAAATTTGCAGCGAAGTCAATCTATACACATAATAGGTGATGAGCAATTGCTGGGCCTATAGGCAGCTTTAATTAAAACAAGACTTGGAAAATGGAATGATAAATACAATCCCTCGGCATATATAATGAGCAATGCAACTAGTAGTGAAATTCTACACTATTGTAATAATATGGTTAATAATTTATCCGATAATGATATTGTTGTATTAGGTGTAGGGGGTAATGATAAAAATCCTGAATTATTACATTTTAATTTTTGTTCCATTCTCAACATTTTGAAGAAAGTCACAGTTTATATTATGCCCGTTAATTATAATCCATATCTTAATGTATATAAATTAAATAATAAATTTTATTTATGGTCTAAATATTTAAAAAATTGTACTTTTATATATATGAAATATCGTAATGTAAATATGAAATTCTATTTAAATTATATTTGCAAAAAAATCAACTTTAATATAGATATAAATGAATATAATCTACAGTTTCTTACAGTTAAAAATACAATGCGACACATAAAACTATTACAAAAAAACGCTAATGATGCACAGAAAATATCACAACGTAAATTGCCTAAGAAAAAAGGCACTATCCCTTATTATTTCAAGGCAGCAAACGTAACACATATTGACAAGACAACACATACATTGCAATCGAGCTTAATATGCTCTAATAATATGAAGGCCGCTAAAAAAAGGAACTATACCCTATTATTTTCCCAATAAGAATAAAATGTTACAAACTACATCGACGCCCACGCTAAATAATGCAACTTTTTTTCGTTCCTAAGACTGCCAACGGCTTTAATATATTGCATCAAAATATTCAAGGTCTGTTGTCTAAAAAGGAAAAAATCGAAATTACACTTTCAGAGCTTAAGGATCAAATAAATCCAGATGTCCTTTGTTTTACAGAAACTTTTGTAAAATCTGGAGAAGAAAAGAATATGATAATTAAAAACTATGAAATAGCGTCGTATTTTTCACGGAACAAAAAACGAGGTGGATCTTGTATTATGGTTAAAAGAGGAATGCCTTTTAAAAAGATAACTTGTTTTGATGACTTGGCTGTCTCGTTCCATTTTGAATGTTGTTCTGTGTTAATTCCCCATAGCAATATATTAATTATATGTTTATATCGAACACCGACTAAAATAAAACGATATTGTGATTGTTTTTTTCAAAAACTTGAATTGTTGTATAAATGTAATTCTAAATATTCAAAAAAAAAGATTGTAATAGCCGGAGATATAAACATTAATACACTAGTAAATGATAATGTTACGACTACATTTACAGATATTATTAAAACATTTAATTTTCATCTGCATATTACAAGACCTACTAGACGACAGTCCTGTATTGATCACGTTATTAGTAACATACCAAATGCCACTGCGAAAATTCTTCCACTTTCGTTATCGGATCACGAAACTGCTCAAATGTTAAGGTTTACCGTAAGCAAAAAAGAAGGTCCTACCAAAAATTGTTTTCTCTTTCAAAAGAAGTTATTCTCAAGAAAACATTAATAAGTTTCAGTCTTATTTAGAAAGTTTATCGTTTTCTGAAGTGTTTTTGGAAACTGACCTAAATCTAGCTTTCAATAAATTTTATGAACTGTTTCAACTGTTTTATAAACTTTGCTTTCCGGTAATAAAAATTAAATCTAACATTAGACCACATATAAAATGGATATCAAAAGGTATTAAAAAAAGTTGTTCTACGAAAAAAATATTACATTACAAATATTACATTAATAAAACAAATCAGAATAAAGTTGCATATAACAATTACACAAGGCTTCTAAGAAGATGCATCAATTACGCAAAAAAACATAGTAATAATAAGTTTATACTCAATAGTAAAAATATTCTAAAATCAACTTGGAAAATTATTAAGAATGAACTAGGGCATATAGAAGCAGATAAACACATTGACTTAATTAAACACAATAACTTTATAATAACTAAACCTATGAAAATAGCTGAAGCCTTTAATAATTACTATATTAATTTGACAAATAAAATAAATAATAAAATTATATACAGTAATACACAAAATAGACTTCAAAATTCAATTTATTTAACACCGGTCGATGAATATGATATAAGTAAAATTATAATGACATTAAATAATACAAATTCAGAAGGTTATGATGGAATATGTACAAATGTTATCAAAGCGTGCAAAAATCAAATTAGTAAAGTATTAGCCTATTTAGTTAATTTATCAATGGAATCTGGCACCTTTCCAGAAAAATTAAAAACGTCTATTGTAAAACCATTATATAAAAAAGAAGAAAAAACACTAATGGAAAATTACCGTCCAGTGACATTGGTACCTATATTATCAAAAATTTTTGAAAAGGTCATGCACAAGAAGGTCATGACTTTCCTAAATAAGTTTAATAGAATAAATCCAACTCAGTATGGATTTCAAAAAATCAAAATCCACGACACTGGCCGCTTTTAATTTAATAAAAAATATTTTACAAAATACTAACGACGGACTATTTACTACGGCCATCTTCTTTGACATGTCAAAAGCTTTTGACTTCGTATCACACGATCAGCTTTTGTTCAAATTAGATCAAAACGGAATTAGAGGCCAAGCATATCACTGGATTAAGTCATTCATACAAAACAGGCATCAATGTGTTGAGGTGCTAAAACTTGACAATAGACATGTAAGTCAAAGTTATAGATCCAAATTTAGAAAAAATGCGTTTGGGGTACCTCA